AAATTAGTATTTAAAGAGTAGATTTAACATAATTGCACTTTAATATATAAATAAATATATAAATATTTATATAATCATAATGCCAACTATGAATGGAAAAGACCATAGAATTATAACTTTCGACGATGAAGAAATTAAAGACATATTCAATGGTGATGTAAACTTTGCTAAACAGTTGAGCGAAGAATACTTTTATTGGTTTGATGCTAAATTCAATGATAAATATTTTATGAAAGGTATAACTAAACCAGATAAATTTGGTAAAATATTGAAATTTTTTGAAATTACAGGTGACGAGGAAGGTTTAATACAAAAGAAAAAAAATTGGCGAAAGACTGTTAGAATATAATTTATTTACATATATAACATTAAATTATTCAGGTAAATTGTGTAATAAAAACGCATAATTAAATAGTTAAATAAATAAATAATTATAAATATTCATATATAAAAATGTCAGAAAATGGTGATTCTACAATTAACGATTTAATGAAAAAGGTTATAATTATTAGTAAGAATATTAAACCATTAACTGAACTTATTAAGACTATTCATGAAAGAATAAACCAACCTAAAAGCAATAACGTATTCAAGAACGAAGACGATAAGGAGAAGATGGATAAAATCTTTGAAAAGAAAGGGTTAGGGCGTCCCTCAGGCGACCATGAAACTAAAAGACAATCTTATTTTGAGATGGTGTCCAACGGGCGCATTAAGAACCCAAAAGAACAAACATTAGAATACTACAAAATTGTGAAAGATGGTGATGAATATAAACTTATGGATTAGTATAATAAATATCTAAATCATTCTAATAAATGAATTTATTAGAGATGTTTAGTGGAACAGGCAGTGTTGGACTTATTGCAAAGTCGCTCGGTTTTAATGTAATATCGTTGGAATTGAAAAATGCTGATATTAATTGTGATATTTTGGAATGGGATTATAAACAATGGTGTTGAAACTTGAAATTTCTAGGTTCATCCAATGACAAAAGAGTAAAAAATATGAAATTTAAAATTTTGAAAATAATGAATTTTAAGGGGGAAATCCATAGTTTATAAAATAGATAAAACACCAAAATTATATAGATATATCCGGAAACTCTTGCCAACTACCAAAAACTGCCATCACAGTAGGCACTAAATACAATGCTCCGCAGAAGCAATGGAGAAACCCGATGGGCGTTTTCAGACCCTGATAATGGGCATTTTCAGCGTCTGATAATGGAATATCGGTATTATCAGGGTCTGATAATGGCATTATCAAGGTTTGATAATGGAATATCTGCATTATCAGGGTCTGATAATGGGCGTTTTCAATAGCTGAAAATGGATTTTGGGTAAATGTCTTTGTAGTTGTTATTTGTTTGGTTTTTTGTGTGGTTTGTTGTTTGGTGGGTTTTTTTCTATGAGGGTCTTACCCCAGAGCAAAAATATTATTTGTGTCTAAAACTATTTAAAGGGTAGATTGCTTATTATTGTAAGAGATTATGGAAAGGAAATATTGCGCGTGTTGTGGATGTCATAAGGATGGAAATGTGTTTACCGATAACTGTAAAACTTGTGATAGATGCCGTGAAAGGCAGAAAAAGAAAGACCAAAGAAAGAGACTGATAAAAGCGATGGATAAGCAACAAAAAGAAATAGAAGAAGGAGGAAAACAATACTGCACACATTGTAAGATGAATAGAAAGATTTGGTTATTTTCGGAAAATCAAAAAACTTGTGATTTGTGTAGAGAAAAAATGAAAATCTACTCGCAGACGTGGAGAGAAAATCATAAAGAGGAGATAAGCGAAATAAATAAAGGCTATGGCATGAAAATATTTGTGCTCTGTTTGTGATTGTGAGGGTAGATTGAAACATAAGGCGAGGCATGAAAAAACAAAGAAGCACATTGATAATTTAAAAAGGATGAGGTTGAGGATAATTGAAATGGTTTAAGTTATTCTTGAAAAATGAATAACTTGAAACATTTTATTAATTATTATATGGGTTTTGGTAAGTGGATTGATAAATTATGTTGGGCTGGATTTGGAAAAGTGGGTATGTTGCTTGCGGGTATGCTACTGCTTGCCTCAATGACTTCAAAGCTCATGCCTCCCCAACAAGTTGAACCAGTTTGGACCAGAGCACACATCAATCAAGTTCACGTGCTGGGAGGATTTTGTTTGCAATGCCCTGTGCGCTCCAGGCCACAGAAGTGAACAGCCAACAGCGTATCATCACCTGGCTCAATATTTTAACTTGCCTAGCACACGTAGTTGTTTCACAAGCAACGTATGTCGGTAGGCATCGAGATGACCGAATCAAGGGCCAAGGAAACGGAACCCAGGGGACGCCTGGATCAGGGCCCGAGCAGCTTGCCGATGGCCTGGATCGAAGGAGCAAGAAGAGGGAACCCAAAGGAGCAATATATGATGCAAAAGAGAATGCTTAAGGGACAGGAAAGCCAAGGGGCTAGAAAATCAAAGAACTGCGAAAGGATCGAGGCAGCAAAGGATCGAAGAGTGTTTGCTTGGATGCTCGGCGGTGTTGCTATCTAGATGGCGCGCTTGAAGCAATTTAGCACGCGAGCTATCTAATCTCAGTTATAAGTTGGCGCAAGTTCGCCAACTAAGGCGGCAGCACTAGCTATGCAGCCCTCGCTATGCTATGTGGATAGGAACCTCGCCACGCGCATGGCGAGTTTACGGCAGACTTATAGGTGAACATAGCCGTGTTGCTAACTCTGCCTGGGCGTGCTTAACAACTTCTGTGGGGAGCAAATTCTATGTTGGCCCCGGCGTACTTAGCAAGTGCGCCTCATGTGGCACGTGCGCAAACATCAGCGCGCTAAGTTTGCCCCGGCGAATTTAGCTAAGTTCGGCAGGTGCACTTACCAAGTCCGCCGTCTGAGATAGCAAGCTTTCTGCCACACCAGGGTCATTTTACCAAGCTTGCAAGAAAGGCTCGCGGGTCCTTCCCTTACCTCCGCGGGCTGAGTTCATCTGGTTTCTAGAGAGTTTAGTATGGGTTTAGTTGTGGGTAGTTTAAGATTCATATTGGCGCGTTCTAGGGTCGGCTGGGGAGGATTTTACAAGCGAGGACCTCTCAAAAAAAGAAGCGGAAGCAGAGATTGAGGGCTCCGCGCAGGCGACCACGCCGGCGCGGCCGCCGAGGGGCCGGCCCCGGCCCGCCGGCCCCGACCGATCGGCGAGTTTGTCTCAAGCTCCCGCAGCAGGCACGTCCGGCGAACATGATCTACAGATATGTGTTTTAAACTTGCATTGGCGCGCAGGCAAAGAGAAGGCTGCAGAAGGCCTTTGCGGATCTCTTTGAGGTTGTCTTGCGGTTGTCGTGGGCAATGTTGTTGGGTGTGACTTCAGGAATGTCTTCGGGGATGCCTTCCGAGGGTGTTTTGGGCGGATGTCTTGGGGGGATGACTTGAAATGTTTCTGTGCACGTGTCAGGGTTGGTGGTTGTCTTTGGGCTTGTTCTCGGTGATGTCTTTGGTTTGAGACGGTCTGGCTTCGAGCTGTCTTCTAAAGATGTCTTCGAAGATGTTTCCAGTTGTCCTGGGCGAATCTTTGGGGATGACTTTGGGGGTGTCTTTCGGGAGACATCTGTCTTGGGGGGGGTGTTGGGCTGTCGTTTTGGGGGAGGTCTTCAAGAAGAAATGTCTTTGAAGATGTGTGTCTTTGCGGATGTGTTTGGATGTCCTCCTAGGTTCTTTTGGGGGCGTGTCTTTAGGGGATGTGAATGAGAATCTCTTTTGGTTGTGTTTGCGGTTGTCCTGAATAATGTCTTTGAGGATGTCTTTGCAAATTGGATGATGTCTTCGGTGCTGGCTTTGAGGCTGTTTGATGGTTTGAAGGATGATTTGGAGGTGTGGGGTGTGGCCTGGTTGAGGTTGTCTTCAGGTTGCCTTCAAGGAACGCATTTCCGTGATCTCCTTTCCAGGGAACGCGGCGCTCGGAACGCTCGTTGCCGAGGCGCGCCTGGCCTCGCTTGCGATAGCTGGAAAAGGGCCTTGGGCAACGCGTGGCAATTCCTTCGAACACATCGAACACATCGAACACATAAATGTGTACTTGGGGTGGATCATGGACGTTAAACCCAAACTTGTCCCCCTTGCTTAGCAATCCCTCAATTTTAGGGTGCGCTGTTTTGGCATGCCAACACCCACTCGTTTCTGTTTTAATTGTTTTGGCAGATTGAATGTTTGTTCAGAGCAAAAACATGAATGTCAACAAGAGGCATCTACCTAAGCCCCGTCGCATCTGTGCAATATGGTTACATGCAGAGACCACCGAGCTTGTTGAGAGCTGGATTCACGCACTCAAACTACAGCCTTGTTGCAATATGAGATGTTTGACGATCGCCAAAGCCAGCTTGCTAGCTGGAGTCTCTCCTGCTCCCACAATGCTGCGCATGTCATTTGTTGCGCGTCAGCTGCCGTCCAAGAAACTTGATTTCGGAAGAATCTTCCGACCTTTCACTTTGTTTTTTTTCCATGCTCTTCTTCCGGACTCTTTGCTTCGCTCTTTCCGCACTTCCCCCCGACTCTTCCCCGCTTCTCGGTCCGCTCTTTTCTCCTAAGACTTTGCGTTCTGTGTTGCGCTCTGCTGTGTGGGTGTTAGGGCATTGTTCCTCGAAGCCGATTGTTGCCAGGAACAAGCAAACACCTAGGACGCAAGGTTGTTCAAGTGCTTTGGCCACTGTTTTTGTGTTCTCGTTAGGTTCCTCGCCCAAGAAGTCAGCCGAAGCCGTGTGTCGACCTTGCGTGGGCAAAAGCTTTCGCTTCCCTCTTCCCTGGCCTCATGATTGAGTCTTTGGTTCCGATGTTTCAAGCTTGACCAGAAATCTCAATCAAATGCGGAGCAGCAGTCAATACTGACTGGCGTGTGCTGTAGTAAGGGATATTCTGACACATGGTTGCTAATTATATGAGGCACACACACACGAAGCAGAGAGAGGTGGACTTGGCTGAGCATCCCCCGGATACCGTGTGCCAAGGTTTCTCGTGGGCAGCCGATATGGCGCAAGCCTTGGCCAGAGGGTTCAGGTTGAGACGCAGCATGGATGGATGGATGGGTGGGATGGATGGATGAAGTGCTGGATGGATGGATGTATGAAGGTCAACGGATGGTGGATGGATGGATGCGGGCGTGCGGCGCGTCGTCAAGAATGGCTTGCGGAAGGCTGTCGGAAGGCAAAGCCCAGGCGGGCGCCACTTCGAGCGACGTATCACGGCTAGGCGGGACGCACACGCTGGCGCCACACAGCCGGCCGACGTCCGCCTCCCTCCGCACGTCAAGATCTCGACTCGCCACCCCACGTCCGCCCGACGCTCCGTGATTGCCAGTGTTCCATGTTTGTAATACTGGCCACTCTTTGATGGTTGCGGAAAACAGGGACACCGTTGCCATTGCAGTAGGGTGCCTTTTTGTTTTTGATCCAGCCCCATTTTGGGGCCGCTGGGCCTTGGTTCATCGAACATGAGGCCTGCGTGTTTGCTTTGGACGGGATGTTCGCCGGCAAGCCGAGCAACCCTTCCCTTGCGCTCTACACACCAAGCCCAATATCAGCTTTTGGAACTCAGAGGCAGGAAGGCCTCCAGTATGTCACTTTAAGAGGTGGTTGTCCCACGCTTGGAGGCATATTTTGCGGATATGTTTGGCAGCTTTCTGGGACCAGCTGGCCATGCGTTTGGTTTTGTTTCGGTAACACGTGTCTGGTGCTTCCAGAACCTATCGCAGATGGTTGTCTGCACCAAAAGGAATTTTCGAGCTTCTGATTGAGAAAGGTGTACTTCGGTTCGGCACGCGGTGCCTTTGGCCATGTTTATGATTGCGCAACAACCAAGGATTTGCCCAAGAGTTGGTGATTCCAGAACCTAGTCTCGCATATTTTTTATGTGCCAAAAAAGATGTTTTGAGTATCAGCAGTTTGCAAATGATTGAAAAATAATTTGTCCTGCGGCTTCCGCTCGCAATGCCTCTTGGCCATGCGTATGATTGCGCAAGAACTAAAAGATGAATGCAAAAGGGGGTGGTTAAAAATCAATAATTTTGACACCCTTTTGTCTGCTTTAATTTTGATAGCACGTGTTTGGTGGTTCCAGAACCTAGTATTGCAGAGGATGTTCTGCAGCAAAGGCCGTTAGTGACGGATAGTCTTTGTATAGGATTTTTCCCTTGGTTCATGGTGGCCCTCATTACTTGCTACCTGTTGCGTGTGCAAATTATGTTTTCAGAGCAGTTAAGTGTTCGTCTTTTTTTGCTAGCTGATCACTACAACTTGTTCAGGGAGGGTTGGGGCAGTGGGGACAGGCTGGGCAGACGGCGGCCGGGGATGGGTGGGATGTCGGGACGGTTGAGAGTGAGAGCGGGCGGTCGCTTGGGGCAGCCGGGATGGTTGGGACGCTTGGGGCGGTTGGGACGGTGGGTGGTGTGGGGACGGTTGCAGTGATCGACGGTCGGGGTGGCCTGGACGGGGGTGCGGGTCGGGAAGAGTCGGGATGGTCGGGACGGCTCTGGCCCAACTGCGTGTGTCCAGTCCGTTTGATGTCACGCGCCGTGTTTGGATGTCCTTCCGCGTGTGCCTCCTGTTTGGGAGGGGTCGGCGGACTACGTCCACGTTCAGCATTGTCCTGTGCATCGTCGAGCGTTGTCTTGCCATTGCAGATGACAGCAGGCAAAGCTGGCTTCGAAGATGTGGTCCCCGGCAGGTCCCGCACTCTCCACAGCCAAAGCGGAACATGCGAAATATGCAGAGCCTGGAGTCAGCGTCGCCACGAAGCACCGCTGGCACAAGCTTGGGGACAGGCACCGCCCAAGAAACCCGAAGGGTGGGGCCCCGGTTTGAACCAAGGACCTGGTAGGTTTGGAAAAGCAAGAGTCTTTCAGTTCGGTGGCAAGCTTTTCACCAGTCACCTTAGCTGCGTGACGACTTGAGTGTATTTGTCCTTGACGACTCCACCGTACGGGAAAGCCCATACCTATGTTCCTGACTCGGCGGCATGCCAGGCTTGATTCGCAGCTCTGCGGCGCAGCAGACACAGGAATCTGAGTTACTTACACGGAGAAGCCTTGGGGGGTTATTTGACTGCAAGTTGCGTTCAAAGCCTACTACGGAGGAGGGCGAAATCAAAAGGAAATACACTTTCATGTTTGTGCACACATTGGCCATGCCAGAAGCACCGCCAAAAAGTGTGACACTGCACATTGGGTGACTGTCGCAACACTTGAGGTTGACAACTGGCTTCTACGCAGAGGCGCCTGCTACATTTGCAGAGTGTCAGCTGGGCAGATGAAGCACGGGAGAATTGGATGGTGAGACAGGAGCTGACTCACTGCAGGGGGAATGGAAGTTTTTTGCCAGCGAGGTCGTCGCATCAACATCGAACCACGTAAGTTGCAACTCACGCCCAAGTGGTTCAGGTTGGCCGTTCAATGTGACTTTCTGAAGTTCTAACATATGTGCAAGATATCGCACCACACCCGAGTGATTTTCGCAAAGCACGCCGTGTTTGTCCGCTCGATATGTCCAGGACATTGGCCATCATGTTGGAGATTCCAGTCTTTTGATTCCCTAGCAGGCTTGCAGGCATTTGACATGAGTTGATGAATACCTTTCACGAGAGGCTGGGGCCTTTTGACTTACTTGCGCAATGCAAATCTTCTCCCGTGCCAGGAACCTGATACTTTGCTTGACTCCTTCCTGGGCGCACGCAAAGGCAGGGGGAGCACGGAATCGTTTGCCCTGGGCGCAGCGGAGCATCGGAGCCTGGCAGGCCGCAGCCCCTTCGCATCGCCATCGCCAGGCCTCGAACTTCGCAGTGTGCCTTCGCTCTGGCGGGGCAAGAACACCTGGAATTGGAGACTTTGCAGTTGCTGTGTGGTTTTCCGAGAACCCGAAGGAAACCAACGAAGCCAGCAAGTTTTGAAGTCCCCGACTTTGAAACCAAGAGGAAACCATTGCCATTTGCAGACCCGTCGCCGAATAGGAGTTTAGGACACCCCACATCAAGGTGATTGGTTTCAAGGATCTCCAGAAGTGGTATATCCTAGAGTCAATATGTGTTCTAGCATAATTCTTTTACTTTCATATCTTTTCCTAATCCTTTCTTTAATCTCAGAATTTGGAGGTGGTACAGGATCGACATTATATCCACCATTATCCACTTCTTTTATGACTTTATCACCTTCAAGTACAGGAAATCTTGTATTAGGATTATTAATCTCTGGTATATTTTTCATGTCTTACATCTCTTAACTTTTGGACAACAATTCTAAGTTTGAGATCTTATTATCTTATATTAAAGACTATCCCATTATTTCCTTTCTCTTTCTTGATTACAGCTTTCATGTTTTTATTAACATTGCCTATCTTATTTGGTACACTTCTTTTAATGTTGGGTGATCTTCATTCTAATACACTTTTCTTTGATCCAATATTTGGAGGAGATCCTATATTCTGTCAACATGTATTTTGGTTTTTTGGACATCCAGAAGTTTACATCTTAATAATTCCTGCATTTGGGATAATTTCCATAATATTTTTTGGGATTTTACAGTTAATAATCTTTGCTAAGCAATCAATGATCTTTGCCATGTCATATATTTCTCTTCTTGGAAGTCTTGATTACACCTTAGAACTACTTCTGTCTTCTTCTTTCTTCTCTTTTTATTAATGTTTACTATAGGTGGGTCAACAGGAATAATTTTCTATTCATTATAACCTGATGAAGGGAGATACAGAAAGGTAAATGACAGGAAAAGATAGATGGATTTGTGTCTCATGTCCCTTCCTCCACCCTCTCCCCCCTGGTCGTTGGAGGTGGGGAAGGGTTAATATGTCAAGGAAGGAATCTCATGAATAGACCAGAAGCCATCGTATCTTTTATCTTCACCAGCAATTCTGATATTTTCAAGGTTTTATGATCAACAATATTAAAAAAGGTTCTATATAGAAAAGCATTGCAAAGGAAACCAGTTTATCTTTCTAGTCTTTTATCTCTGTCTTTTTCATTCATACTTTCTCTTCATCAAGTTACACCAAGCCACACAACAAAGGCTTGGCATCTCCTTTCTCTTTGTGAGTCCCTTTTCATCATCTTTACCATGTTAATATTCTTTTATTTTCATTCATAATTTCATGCTTTTTATTTTTGTTACTATTGTTATATCTTTATTTTGCTATTCATATCTTATTATCTTTATCTTAGTCTCATCAATAAATCCATTCTATTTCTCTCCCATTCATTTATTATGTATCTTCATCTTTTATATTTATTTTTCTTTATGATCTTTGCCATGTCATCTATTTCTCTTCTTGGAAGTCTTGTTTGGGGGCATCATATGTATACTGTAGGTTTAGAAAGTGATACAAGAGCTTATTTTACGGGAGTTACAGTCTTAATATCACAGATCAAAGCATTCCATGAAATCTTCTTCTAATTTTTTCAACTTTCGTATTTTCAAGTATTTCCAATGTGATGCCGGAAGCACAGGATACAGCCAAGAAGCTAGACCACGAGATACAGAGAAGAAAGGGATGGCATTCTCCTGACCAATTATTCACTTCTCTGTCTGCGGTCAAGCCCCTGAGATATAGACGGCTTTGAAGGACTATTTCTCTTCTTCCTAACCGTAAGATTTCTCTAAAGTGCAAATAATGGAGTTATGCTGTTGAGGTCTTAGTTAGAGACGGCCTGTAGTCAAGAGATGGAGGTTGGCGAATGGATGGTCTCTTTTCTCTATTTCCCTTTCCCTGTCGTTGACGAGGAGAAAGGGTGAGGAATAGAAAGGCTTGGAAGGAGAGAGTGAGGGATGGTGAGTGAACGGTTAGACCAAGAGCTGGGACAAAGGGGGAACAGCTCTATCCGCTCACATCCCATTATCTCCTTTCCTCTCGCCCACCAGTTAGACCTGAGGACGAGTCAAGGAGAAATCATTTGACTGTGGAAGGACCCGTTCACCCGTCCATACAGCGATCGCAGTCACAATGGCTGGGTCGGCTTGTGTTGTCTTTGGAATGTGTTGAAACCAGGGCGCAAAGATTGTGGGTTCGCTTGTGACCCTCGGTCTTAGCTCGCTCGTGACCGTGTCTTTCGGACTATGTTGCGCTCCTTCTGGGACATTTTGGGAGGTTGCGCTTTAAGTTGCGTCAATTGGGGAAGTCGCATCGAAATGTGACTTCCTTTTTCTGTGCTTTGCCCTTGGGAGGTTTGACTCCCCCCTTGGTTTCGTAGTGCTGAGCATGTTGAGTAAGTCTTTTTGGGGCAGATGTTAGTGGGACAGCAGAAAAGGGTGGGGGTGGGACGACGTTAACGCTGACAGACTTGTTGCGGCGAGACAGGTATGCGTGCCCACCCCCCTCCCACCCCACGGATCCTGATAGATATAATCCTTCTCGTGCCTCGTTTATTTCATTGCCCGCGCGGTGGAACACTTCTTGAGTCCCATGAGATGGGATTCAATTGCATGACGCTTACACCAAGAACTGGACCAACCAAAATACAACTGCAATATTCCGGAACCTGCCCCCCCCCCACGGCTAATCAGAAGAAGTGTTAAAACGGCGCGAAGACAAGGGATGATGGAAGGGCAACAGAATGGAGTGCCAGAAGTGAAACTATAGCATTCAAAAGCCACTTAAGAAGCTGAAAGCACCTTTTGTAATCTATGCTGAGCAAAACGGCAAGCAAACACGACATCGTATCAAACCATAGTCCAAGCCAAGGCTGGAAGAGGCGAGGATTGCATGGATAAATTACCCTGGACATCGGCTATTGATTCTAATCAATAACTTTCGATTCCTGTTGAAACCAACCCTTTTTTCAAGAAAAACTAA